GGCGACAAACCTGCATTGATAGAGGATTAAAGCCTCACTCTTGGCTCCGTGTTTTCTCTGTTTCATCGCTCAATTATTCGAGGTAATTAGCCTACGAAAGTTATAGTATGGTCGGGGATGGATGTCTCGGATTGTGGCTAGTCACCCCTCTTTTGCACCTCGAGAAATGCTTTCATACGACTAAGCATGTCAAGTAGCTTCTGCTGAGAAACCGTACTCACTGCCTTCTCGTGGCGGAGGTGTTTTCCCATCAAAGTGATCGAACGAGAAGCCGAAACCGGGGCATTATAACCGGGTTGGTGAATCACTGGTAGTTCATCTAGGGGAATTGGCTAAAAACCTCAATTCCAAACCAACCAAGAAGAGGCGTACGACTCACCTACACACCTTCCTGGTTGCAGCGGTGATCGCCGGCTCAACTGGGAACCTTGGACGTTTGACGCTGTCCGAAGGGCGTATGATCCGGTAAACTGGACATGGGCCCCCAATGGATAACGGTTTCCACACATCGCCTCACTAGCTTGCGGGTAAGGCTTTGGGTAGCCTAAGCCTCCGGTTGTAAATTCCCTAGGAAAATCTACCTCATACAGGGCAGCGCTCTATTCTCTCATTCAAAGACACTAAGAAAGTCCTCTGACATTGCGTGGTTCCAATCGCATCGCTTTCGTTGGTAATATTTAAACCCATAATTTAGTCCAAGAATGTACATTCTATCACAAAGCACAGCATAACGAACAAAACAGTGACAAAAAGTAATCAGGTGATATAACACCGAAATAGTTATGAAAAAAGATCATTTGCTAATCTATTATACGAATTTCCCAACGTATCGTCCTAAACAAAACGAAATCACTCAACAGTATGAAAAAGGAGTTGAGGAAGTTTCAGTTTTTACAACCGTTAACCGTGCATTCTTGTGCTGTGGTTTTGGTTGTCTGCTGGGTGCGGGGTGTCCATTGGGATAAAAGAGTAGAGAGAAGACTGGATCGTTGAGAACAGTGTCAGAGGGGAGGAGAGATTAATAGAAACGGGAAAAAGTTGCTCGACCAGATACTCTTGTTTCTGGCAGTGAGAACGCGCCGGTTTTAGAAAAATCAGTTGAAATAGCACTGGAATCAGCCGGAAAAGGGTTGTTTGCAGAGATTTATTTAATGACAGTGGATGCTTACTAAAAACCCTAAGATGGCATCATATTGCCTCGAATTGAGATTGACGGGTTACATCGCATGCCCTCTCCCAACAAATGATAGTACTTAAATGGAAATAAACAGTCCAACCAGCGCTAGTTCAAAAGCAATGAGGATATCATCTCGGATAAAGATGACCGTGGCTCTGTACCACAGAACACCACCAGCCCGAATGATAGTATTTATCCGACCCTTCGCGGACAGCCCAGTACACTGATACTGCCAAAGGGTGTCTAAGTGTCATTTTTATAACGTAATATGAATTGCAGTAAAAGGGGATATAACCATGGTCAATAAGTATACCGTAAAACGAAGAGTAGAAGAATATTCACGTAACATCCGGTATACTGGTTCTGCGTTTAGAGGATGAAAGATTGTAGGCGGATAGAGAGGTACAAGGAGGGTGTGTTCTACAACTTGGCAGTTTGGGGAAAAAGGAATACTGAAGCACAGAAAGACGACAACCAGTGACTGATATCTGACAAGGATGACTAGATACCTGTATACGGAATGGGCAGGCAAAAGTTACATGAGGGTGAACTGTCGAGGCAGGCCCCGAAGAATAAATTCCGAAATAGTAACAGTAGAGAAGGGACAGTAATATGAACTAATTGACAGTGGGATAGTGACTGCAAATTGTAAGCTCAGGAAGGATCATTTATCAGCCGGATGGTCTTTCGTTGGACATGATCAAGAAGGGCAAGAGAAGACGAGGCCCCGTCACACATGTGTCTACAACATTCAGAGGCAAGACGGATTTGAACTTTGGACAGTAGAAGATGATCTAGGAACAAGAAGTGTTTGGCACAGCAGCACTACAGGCAAGCTGATATGAAAAATACCATCAGTATAGATAAACTATGGGCAATACAAGAAGAAAAACGGAGATGGTGTAAGTAGGTAAGTGGGGAGAATTGAAGGTGATTCAGGTAAATTGAAAAGGGGCAGTTTCGGAAGCATTGAACGCAAAATGATAGCTGCTGTCCCAGGAAATGTGTTCTACATCAGAGCCGAGTAACACATTAACTGCACTACAACCACGATCTATGTTGGTTTGGGTATGGTAAATAGTGGTAAAAGTGCACAAAAGTGCATGGTTAATGATTGCAAAACTGAAATTGAAACTAAAGTGAGTGAAGTCGTACCGTACTATTAAGTTAATCTAAACTAAAAGCCACTCAGCAGAGGAGAAGTGATTAAAGGGTTGAACTGCTTCGGAAGCCTAATTTCAAATGGCGATCGAAGTTCGATCGTGGATCGCCAACAATGAATGCAACCCGCATGCGAGTTGAAAAGATACAAATGATTTTAACACAACATTGGGGTATTTACGAGGACTGAGAAAAACATTTCCGGATACACAGTACACGAGTTCGAGGTGCAGATGACCTTGCAGAGGCCACCACAGTGAACAACGTTGCTACTGTGCAAGCAGTGATGGCAAAGTGTCCCCGGATCATGGTGCCACAGCCGGTGCAAGCCCTCATGAACTCATCGGGATCAATCCGCATCATCCTACACAAGAAGCTTGGTCACAGAAAGGTTTGCGCACGTTGGGTACCCGATCAGCCCAGTGAGGAGCAGAAAACGGTTCGAGTGAATTGATACTGCACCATGCTAGCCTGGTTTGATGATGAACGTTCTAATGCAGTTTG